ATCTGAGACGCTTGGTCGTATGGGATCATTCACTTGGTGCAAGAGAACAGTGACCAGCCTTAAAGATCCCTTAACGTATTGGGTAGCTCAGATGTCTGTCTCCGATCAAAAGGTGCACGATCTGATGAAATGAACATTGACCCCCAACGGGTTGTGGCTTTCACACAAACACCTGCTGGTTTGGGAGTCGGTGTTTGGCTAACCCAAAGCTCTGAAAGTGCATTCTTCAAGAAATGTCACCCGTTGTGGCCTGAGCCTGCCTACTATCAAATAATGAACTTTTTTCTTTGTTATGAGGATTACTGTATCGTGATTTGTTTGGAATAGTCTGGAGTCAGACGTGTGTGAAATGCAGTATACGTTTGTTCAGTGACCGCTACACATGTACCGACGGTTTTGCGTGTGTTTGTAGAGACCTAGTTACCTAAAAAGTTTATCAGAGCCCAGCTTTACAATGAAATGCACAGAAACAAGAAAAGGGAACGCGGTGAGGATTGCTCAGGAACCTCAACATGTAAATGAACGAATAGCTTAGGTTAGGAATGCGATGAGCGCATCCAAATAGACCTAATGGTGCACATTGAACAATGGAAGGGATGGCAAATTATGATCACATGGGATTCGAAGTGACGGGCAAAAGCGAAGTAGTTATCATCATCCTCATCGCCATAATCATCATTGTAATCGTACAGTAGAATAAAGTGAAGCAAACTTCCCTGATTGCTGTCAAACTCATTATACATAAATACAATAGAGGATATGCAAGAAGGATAGTGACTGGGCTTAGGTTTGCGGACAGGGGAAGAAAACGGACCTCGATGATGCACAGTCCAACTATGTATATATATACACACGCACACACACACACGATTTCAAGCATTCTGGTCTGATAAGAGGTGACAACAAGAACGCCTCAGGAGAATGGAAATTACAAATGAACAGCCTCAAGTGGACAGAGCGGGCACTTACTGGAATATGAGCTACTGCTTTCGAGCTTTTGCAAGTTTTTGCTTCTTAGTACCAACAGGCTTCTTCTTTAGAAGATCCATGTTCTTAGGAGTCGAGTTTTGGAGACCTGGTTGTTTGTCGTGTTTCGTTTTCTTGGGTTGTCCATCTTTCTTACTCTTCTGGATTCCTTGTACCTCAGAAAGCAGCTTTGGTTCTGGTTTCTTCGGTTTCACGTTCTGCATAGATGCACCCTTGAGTTTAACCACAGATGAGACAGATTCTTTGGGCACAGAAACGCCATCATGAGTTTTACGACGGCCATGCTGGAAAGGGGATAACAGTGGATTTTGCCGAAATTCAAAAGGTGGCACTATAAGGAAGACGAACCACAATGAGGACGTTTTGTAGAATAACTGGATCGGATACAGATGAAACCCCATTCGTCAGTCACAATACAAATGACCAGAAACTGACCTTTCTGAAAGCAAAATTGACGATCAACGGAGAATCGTGGAGCAGAAATCCATGTTTGGAATTGAAGGCTTCTAACGCTTCTTGCTCGTTCGAGAAAACTACACGGCAACTCCTAAGTAAATAATGATGGGTGAGTGCAGCAGAGAAATTTATAAGAAGTGGAACAAAATATTAGAGCAATGAGTATATAACTAGACGGTTCAAAAAGCTTGATTGTTTACCCATGTCTGCTGAAACCATTTCCTAAAAAGATTATCTAAAAGTGAACAGAAAACATTCTAGTCATCAAACAAATAGTTAATACACAAAGTGTACATAAAAACTGTTTAGAACTTTCAGTTAGGATTTGTCATTTGGCATGTCTAGAGAGCTCGCAACTCTAGATAGCTGAGTCAATGGTAACGGAATCAGCAAGATCATGGAAATTCTGAGTGATATCGTTGCTATAAACAGCTAGCAAACAATCGATCAATTTCCTTGGTACAACTAAAGAAACATCACCAGTGTGGAAGCGGACTTTGTTGGTGGAATAATTATTTCGCCGAGAACTAACAACTACAGGAAACAGATGGAAAAGAAACCTACTTTCATAACTAACACCACCTCTAAGGATGAAGCCACGGCTCTCTTTCTTCCAATGAATGAGCGGTGAATCATATAAAAGTTCAAATAATTCACGCTATACATCCAAAGAGAAACTGTAGGTTGTTGTAGATGGACTGGCGAAAACTTCAGATAAAACTACCAACAAGTAATCTCCGTGATGCGATTCCTCAATTGCACAAAGCATGGAAGGTAAAAACGGTACTAACCCAATGCTGTTATGCTTCATATTCATGTTGAAGTCAAAAGTTACAGCTTTGTCAAATATTTGACGCAGATCATCCTGGGTTGCAACCCGAGGAATACAAGTCACATAGAGGGTAGTAAGACAAAAGTCTTGCAGTGTGCGCTTATCCGGTGGAATCCAATGTGGTCGCCGCCTCTCCAAGTCACTCGAACCCGACTGCGTTGGAGGTGAAGTTCTTTCGGAACAAAGCTCAGCGGTCACTGGTCGATCAGCGACCAGTTTACCATTTATCGAAGCAAGCGCAGTCCTGGCAATTTCTTCTGATTTAAATTCGATAAAGGCGTGTCTGGATGGAAACATTGGGATAGAAATCAAAAGAGAAAACTAATACAACGTGCAAACAATATATATATATATATATATATCAACAAGTAGTATATGAATGACTTGACATAATTTCCCCGGAAGCACTCGACCGGTTTCGCGACTCTTGCAGCTCGTTAGCCATGCGTATCCGGTAATCTTTTGTCAGTCCATATACTTGTACCCAGGAAGTGAGTGCATATATATGCAGTGACTAGCCCATCACCGTGTGATTGCCCGTAACCCTAATTTGTAGTTACTACTTAGGTTTTCGCGCAATCTCCCTTTTCTATATTCACCTATATCTTATACAATCGGTTAGTCATCCTTTCGAAGTGTCTGTCCCAAGACGTTGAATTTCACCCTTTAGTTCTTTTTCGCCGCGGAATGTCAAACTATGGAGCACTGTTCCTCTTTGTATTCCCATAAATCTTTATTTTTTATATCATCAAAAGCAGTGTCTATAAGCTGGTTCTTGCCTGATTGCCCACCTTCTGTTTTGAGTACATGAATTAACCCCTTTTACCGTGTTTCATTTCGTATGTAATAAAAGTGAAATTTGACATATTTGGTTTGGAGAGAAAGGGTAAACTACATTGAACAAAGAAAAACGATTCAGGACAGAACCTTAGGTGCATCACACATTGGTCTACAGATGGATAGAACTAATCTAAACCAGGTCACTTATCAATTGCAACTCCCAACACCCGTGCAGACTAGCAGACATGGGTCACTACGGCGTATCAGCACTCAAATATGACAAGTTTACCTCGAACATTTCATTATATAGTGTTATACTATGGAGAAAAACCTTGGAATGAAGTACCCCATCGTATGGCAGACGCAATAATGAGCCGACGACAGCACGGTCGTCTACAGAATTCAAACTTGACACCAGTGGACAGACTATGCGAGAAAAATGGCTTCAAACAAAACCCCAGCTCACTTTCGCCGATTTGCATGGTGACTTGATTGAATGCGTGCAGATATTGATGTGGGGCATAAAGTTTTCAGTTGAGACACGGTAGTGTTGCGCGGTAGCTTTCGTACGTACAGTGTACGAGAATCCAACTCAGCTGAGGTAAAAAATGGATGAAAATTCGGAGATATGAAAGTTGTGTTTGATGGTTTGAATCCCAATGGGAAAAATTACGGGAAAATGAAAATCATTTCGAAATATCAATTTTTTATTAATGCAATCTCTTCATTTCGAAATCCGTAATGACCGATACAAAAATTTACAATGACACAAAACTGAGCATTCGAAACAAACGTCGGAAAAATCAGACATTGGATTCTTATATGAAAACCATGTACAGTCAGTTAAAAACGCGAACGGTAAACATGAGGCTTATTGCTATGTTCGATAAGCTAGGATCACGAAATCATATACATTTAAAGACGTAGTTTTCGAAAGAGCATTATCCAGAGCAATACTTTAACACAAGAATTGATCCTGCAACATCAAGCATGCTGCGGTCCTAGTCTGACCATTCAATATTTTTCATCCGCTGTCTGACTCAGTGAATAACGTGAGAAAACGGAATCTATTTGATGACAGGTGAAACACACGTCCCAGCCAGCTTATTCCACAGAGGTTAACCACTTGTTCCAGTGGACGACTGTGATTACCTAAAACTCGACGCCTAACCTCAGCATTTTTTGTCCGGTGGCCCGACCAAACTAGCGCAGCGTGACCCAGACAGCGATGCTCAAAGACCGACGAGCTGAAATGTTCGCCAAAGCATTCCGCCCGGCGATGAAGTCGTCAATCCGATTGTGAATAGCAAGTTATAGTTAACCTGCATAATACCACTTACTGTACTATTCCGGGTCCTAGGTTTGTTCCCATCACTGAACAGTGAATTATGGTGACTACAGTATTCCGCATTTTCCCCTTTTACGAAATGATCATCATCATCGTGCAGCGAAATAGAGTGAAGCGAACTTCACTGATCACTGCCAAACTCGCAATGCATACAAGGTTAGTGGTAAAATTTAAGATGGAATTGGATTGGATCTATTCTGAGGGAGCGTTACCGTCATTGGTCACGCAAATACCTAAGTAGGACAAATAATCCACCACAACTAAATCCTGGTGATTTAGTTTCAGAGCGGGAGTAGACGAAACCCAGTCCTGCAGCATCACTTTGTACTTTGAAGGTGCAAAG